AATTTTCACACAATAATAGCATTCGGTAGCCATTTTCACCGTGAAGATAAAATAAAGTCCGAAATTTTTTTTTCGCATAATAAAGTAAATTACATTAGCTTTAATTTAAGATATACATAAAAGTGTCAGACTTTCCGGAACACTTTCAAAATTTAAGTTGAAAAAGTTCTACTTTCTACATGAATTTTTTAGATTTCAACCCCCCCCCTTATATAGGGAAATGGTCCGATTTAAAAAAAACAGTATGTCAAATGAAAGATGTATATAAATACTACTCCTCATGAAAAAATTGTACTGATCCATACATTTTTCAAAAAGTTATAGCATAATAAAGTTAAAAATGTAAAATANCTTTTCAAAAAGTTATAGCATTTTAAAGTTAAAAATGTAAAATACAAAATCGAAAATTTTCACACGAAAATAGCATTCGGTAGCCTTTTTCATCATGAAGATCAAATAAAGTCCGAAATTTTTTTTTTGCATAATAAAGAATATTACATTAGCTTTAATTTAAGATATATANTAAAGTATATTACATTAGCTTTAATTTAAGATATATATAAAAGTGTCAGACCTTCCGGAACATTTTCAAAAGTTAATTTTTTTTGAAAAATTTGTCATTTTAAATCTCTCCTTGTGGGCAGGTTAAGGGTTAAATTTATGAAAAAAATATACAAAATGAAAGGTAATGATATTATGCATCTATATAAAAAAGAATTATATTGATATGTTTATTTTTGAAAAAGTTATGGCACTTTTAAGTAACAAAAATTTAAAAAATTTCGAAAATTAGCGATTTTTAAATTCGTAATTTTTTTGGAGGTTTCCCCCATTTACAGGGAACGAGGGAATTTTTTTCAATTTTTGAGGATAATGTCTTCGACTAGATACAATTTGTGATCTTTTGACGTATCATTGAAAGAAATCGGTTCGGTGAGAGCTGAGAAAAAGTGGTAACAGACACAAAAAAAAAATAAACACATCTTAGTAAAACCAATACCTTCTCAGCTTCTCATCGAAACTAAAAATTACCCTGTATATATATATATATATATGTCTATTAAATAATACAATGATGTTATGGAAGACAGAGATATGAGCACATGCAAATGTGATCGTATCAATAGTGAAATTAATCTTAATAAAAATACCAGATTAGCTAGCCTATGAAATAAGATAAAAAGACACGCTGAATCTAGTGCTCATATTTTCGCTTTTAATATTAAGAAAGACAAAGAGTCTGAAACAATAACCAAAAATGTTGAAAAACAACTTAACAAAAACCAAGATTATAATGAGTATATTTTTCGCACTACCTACTATATTATAAAAAATAATAGACCTTTTGACGATCATTCAAAGCTAGTAGAATTGCAAAAACGGCGTACACATGGGCTCAATTTTGCATTCTAGATATTGACGCGTTCGCATTGCACTTCCGGCTTTACCGCTGGATGGCGACTACGACACAGCTGCCTCTCCTCGTCCGACAGGTCGCGCGACGCCGAGTGACCGCGGGTGACAAGAACCGGTCCGGTGATGCACTAAGTATTATTATATTACCAACACTTTTTGTCTATTGTGACTTCCTCTCGGAAACCGATTTTGTTTTATAGTAATTTAAAATATATGGCAATTAATATTTAGCCACCTCGTTGTTATTTATTTAATAAAAAACCAACTTAGTCACAACAATATTCTTGTACTGCTATAGTAAACCATATTGCATGCAAAATGAGATATATTGCTGTGAAAAATATTATTGATTCTGATTCGAAAATTTCTGTTTTAATTGATGAGTCAACAACAATTAGCGCCAAAATCTGTATGGTAGTATTCCTTAAAACATCGATTTCTCATAAAGATCCAATATTTATTTTTTTGGATTTAGTGGAAACAGGCTGCTGAATCATTGTTAATCAACTTTTAAATTGTCTACATTCTTTTAGTTTTAGTGATTCATATCTTCGACAAAATTGGGTTTCTTTTGTTTGTGACGGAGCCTGTGTTTTATTAGGGGGAAAAACGGAGTGGCAAAACGTTTAAAAGACAAATATTCTTTAATATTTTTATGGCACTGTATGAACCACAGACTAGAGCTGGCTGTTAATTACTGTATTAAAGATGTTACTGCAACGAACCATTTTAAACATTTTGTTCATAGTTTGTATGAAATGTATAACAGATCGCCCAAAAATCAAAATGAACGAATTCTTGATGTCCGATGGGTAGCAAGCAGCTTTAGAGCTGTAGAAATAATATGGAAAACATTTTCGGCACTGTAACATCACTTACACAGCTCTTCAAAAGATATCGAAAGAAATTTAAAAACTAGATTTATATATCTTGGATTGTGTAAACGGTTGGGAAGCCCTGAGTTTGTTATGATTTAGCACTTATGTGTGACGTACTTACGGAATTGTCACACTTATCTCGCGAATTACAAAGTCATTCAATTACACTGTTACGTCCCGATGATTTGGTTAAAAGAACAATCAGAATTATTGATTATTTCAAAACAAAACATGGAGAATTTATGTCGGAAGCTTTAAGTGCACAAAATACTCTCGTATTTAAAAATGTAATTTTAGTTAGTAATAAAAAACTTAACTCTATAAATCAAAATCAATTTTTGACTAGTATATGCAATAACCTTCGTACGCGTTTACTAGAAACCAACGAGGAAAAAGCGTGTATTTTAAATGACATGCAATTATTAAGTAAATATACATGGTCATTTGCCGATGTAAGTATACGTTTTGGCGAAGACGAAGTTAAGAGATTAGCCCATAGATTTTAACTAAATACTAATAATACAGTTCAGGGCTTTCGAAAATATATTGACAATAAAATTAACAATGAAGAGTTGAAAGAGTTTGACATTTTGATAAAAACATTGCCCGTTTCTACTGTGGAATGTGAAAGAGGATTCAGTCAAATTAATCTTATATGTTCAGATCTTAGATTCATATTATTTGTGAACGAACATTTCCAGCTTAATGTTTATAAACATTTGTGGACCACCAGTTGCAATATGGAATCCAACACTGTTTTTGTTTCAAAACTGTAAAAAGTTATAGATCATAGATCAGCAAATGACAATAAATCTCGAAAAGTGGCACCGGTAAAACAAAATGAAGAAAAAATCAATTTATGGAACATTTTATAATTCTCTTATATTAATTTTTTCATAAGTTTTTTACTACTTTAAATTTTTTTCAATTATTTGATCAATATTTTCTTAACTAAACAACATAATTTCAAAGAAAATGAAACTTTAATCTAATATTTAATATATTACCTATAATGAATTAGGATAGTGCTAACACGTACCTATTCATGTCTATTTCATTTATGTTTTAACGATTTGAAAACAATGATTGTAAGATTATTTTATTACTACATAAAGTTTATTTATAAAAAATACAACAGTATCTAATAATACACTTATCGATTATATGACTATGAAATTTAATTTATGTAAGATCTTAGAAGTGTCAGTAAAAATATTCGAGTAATAGTTTGGAAGTTGAAAAGAGCAAGACCGTATCTGGGAGGGTTAGGTTGGGTTAAAACATCACAATATTTGTATTTCGTCCTCCAAAACTATGTTCTAGTTAAGGCCTTTGAATAGTAGTGTGGGGGTGAAATTCCCCACGTTTCCTCATTTAGGTTTTTAACTTATCCATTGATCAAATTACGACTATATCACTGTTGATAATGTATAAAGTTTAACAAAATAATTGTGAAATATTGTAAGTAGAAAATATAAAGTGAAATTTGTGGTGTGGGGAGTGGAGCCCCCCGCGTTATTCTCTATTCATAATATAGGCGTATACCCATAAACATTTTTAGGACTACACCACTGCTCAGGACTTATATAAATTTGTGTATATATATTTGTGCGGGAGCTAAATAGTAACGTTTCGTTGGTATTTCATCTTTACTCGTATATATCAAACGTGCTTCTGTAGGCATACGTAACCCGAGATCGTTTTCTATTTCATTCTATTATTGTCGCTGCCCAATACCTATAGCCATTCTTACTTTCTTTATACTATACTACCATCACAGCCAATATTTTCCCTTCCCATTATACTACTAATCTTTTTCTTTTCTATTTGTTTACTACAAACGTCCGCGTTCCTGTGCTTTCCTCTTCCTCTTCTTTTTTGTTTTTTACAATTTACATATAACTACTATTAACAATAAATTGTTGAGAAATATCAAAATTTACAATAAATAATTATTGATTCACGATTCATAATTATGTTTTAATAGATTTACTAAGTTATAATGTAAATGTAATAAATTACAAAACATGAATGTAGAACAAAGAGAATTATATAATTTTCTATTTGTACTGCTTTTTAATAAATAAATTTATAGGATTATGATTTTATATTTTAATTTATATTTTTTCACTTTAAATGCCTGGTTCAATTGGTTCCTCTGATGTTGGTATAAACGTTTCTTCTGTAATTGAATCAAATTTAAATCCCAGTTCAAAATACTTTTCTGTAATTACTGTCTTGATGTAATCATTAAATTTTCCAGTTAAGAATTTGAAAAATACAGATTTTATGCCCTTCTCAATAATGGCTTTATATTCTTGAAGCCATTCTTTCCATAAATAATTTGTACTATAAGGTACAAAATCACAATAAAGCACTGATTCTTTGTTTAGATTTATAAATATTCTTTTAAAAAAATTATCCATAGTATCTAATGCCCAAGAGTATGTAGATATATGATCACGTGATAGAGTACGTTTGTCTAATTCATCAAGGATATTTCCTATTTCTTCTAATAAAGGACTTATCATATAGTAATATCGGCGATGTTCATTAAGAATAACCCATGGTTTGTTATGTAATAAATCAACTCCATCTATGGCACTTTTCATCAATATTGACATTGGAACAATTAATGTGGATATTATGTTTATGAGTTCTTCAGTACAAATGCATCCATTTATTAATTCATTTTTTTGTTTAATTTTTTTTTCACATTTTTTTAAGATTCTGTTAATAACAAAAAAAAGATTATATAAAACTTTTGTATATGTGCATCCAAGATATACAGTCAAGGCTCGTATCTTCTGATCACATTTAGAAGGCATTATAGGTGCTTCAAGCAGAAATCTAAGAATATATATTCTATTATAATATTTTATAAAGTTCAAATCGATTAAATTTTTCCATCCAGGATATTTTAGTAACTTATTTACCATATCAAATTGTATTGTAGAATTGTCTGCTTTTATATATAAAATAGCATAAAATAATAAAAAAATTAACTTGACTAGTTTTAATAAAAACATTTGAAAAATAATTAATACTTATTATGAGTGAAATTTTCTGAACAAAATATAATTCGACAAAATAATAAATGACACGTATTTAATCTGTAATGCATTTAGAAATAATATGACTAATATTTATGATAAAACATGTGTGGTATTATAATAGTTTTTTTTAAATAGAATTGTTGCCGCTTTTTTTGTATCACAAGAATGATACCAAAAACTTGCTGTACGGCTTAATTAAATAAATAAAAAGTGAGAGCTCGGGTTTTGAATTATAATAAAGAAATAAATTTGATATTTTGGATGTCTAACAAGTTTTTAATTTATTTTAATGACATCATTCATAATACAAAGTATACCGCGTGCCTGCACAATGATCCTACACCTATTAAAAGTTCTCTCTCAGTTAGCTATTAATTTTAATTAGATAACTGTAACAATGCTCGGTAATGCAGTAAACACGCGTTAGTGGTTATTAGCAATATTATTCCTAGTGCAACAATTGATATAATATAAATTTTTCGTACCTACTCGTTATCGGCGATCTATGCTAACACTTCGAGTCATCACGGCTGTTGCCGCAGGCGGCCTTGATAATTTTTATAGTAGTACACCTTCACTCATGTTCGCTATAGATAATAATGAATAACAGTAACAACAATAACACTGGCAGATCGGTTACACCGATCAAAATTATCAATAATAAATATAGTTTAAAAAAACTAAAAAAACACGCGTTTAAGGCACATTGAACTAAAAAGTTAAAAATAATTTATAAAATAAGTTGAAAATAATTATGAACAAAAAATACTAGTATTATTGTGATAATAGTGTCGGGCGCTCAATATACGAAAAATATGGCACACTATCTCAAAAAATATCTTTTTATTTCGATGTGCTTTAAAAGCGTGTTTTTTTAGTTTTTTTAAACTATATTTATTTTTCACTTTTTAGTTTCATGTTATGATGGTAGTTACTATCAATATCTCGGTTGTTACGGGTAACGGGAAATCAGAGTTCGACTCCGCAGAGGGAGTCAGAGAAACAGCTACCACATCCAAGGAAAACAGCAGGCGCGCAAATTACTCACTCCCGGAACGTGGAGGTAGTGACGAAAAATGACGATACGGAAATCATCCCTCGTAATCGGAATGAATACTTTATATCTCTTAATTAGAATAAAGCGTGTTAATATATAAATTTTAATAGTAATTAGAATATTAATAAGCGTGGTGCTTGGAGAGTTACAAACATACATACATACAGGTGAAACTAATATAAGCGTGTTAATATACAAAATTCTCCGTCTCAATCGAAAGCAAACTATAGATCAGATGATGGCTGGACAATACAGCGTAATAAAAGAAATCTGTCCAGCTCTTCTAACTCAGAGCCAAACTCACCTAAAACTCAAACTCGACCAATTAAAAAAGAATATTCTTAGCATAAAATAGATTTGAAGTTCTTAGAACAAATGTTAATCATGGATATATACAAAACACTGACTCATTTTTAAATATTACAGAGCAAAATAGTCCTGAACCTAATACCAAACCCCCTCCTCCAATTTTTATTAAAGGTGTGAAAGATTTTCGTTAACTATGCACTAGTCTAATTGAGATAATTGGTGTTGAAAACTTTATTTGTAAGTCATCAACTGATCAACTAAAAATTCAAACTAGTACTCCTAGCGCATATAAATCATTAATTCGTTTCCTCAAAAATAAAGCTGAATATTATACGTACCAACTGCATCAAGATAAACCTAGCCGCTTAGTGATTAGGAATTTTACACCCAAAAACTCAAACTAGTTTAATTAAATCAGAACTGGAACTCTGTGAATTCGAAGTACGTAACGTAACTAATGTTTTTCATAAAGTCTACAAACATCAATTGCCACTATTTTTCATTGATTTGGAATCAATCCCCCAATTAAAAGACATTTATAAGCTGACCTTGCTCCACGTCATTATAAAAGTAGAGGAGCCCTACAAACCTAAGTTAATAAGTCATTGTCTAAACTGCCAGGAAATACGATCACACTAAATCTTATTGTAAATATCCATCTCGCTGTGTTCGCTATGAGGATTTTCACCAAGCATCTGACTTGGTGGAAACTAAACTAAACCAATTTCTCGTGATTTTTGACCCAAATGCGCATTTTGCCAAGGAAATCATCCAGCCAACTACAAAGGTTGCTCAGTCTACAAAGAAATCTTTTTTTTTTTTTTTTTTCTACAACCGGCATAATGTGGACCGCCCTGGGACTACCATTAGGTATTGCTTCAGGGCGGCCCACGCCATCTAAAAATCACACCGCCGTGTTGTGACTCAGCCCGAAATTAATCAAGAGATGAGTCACAACACGACGTGGACTCCCCCCTTAGCCGGATCCCAAGAAGTGGGATCCATTGCCCAGGCCGCACCACGTGAAGGTGGGGGTAGGACTTTGCTATGGGTTGGCATAAAAATTCACAAAACACAGAACACACACAAATAGTGAAGAAGACAGGAAGTAGGGTAAAAAAGGGAATTTTGGTTCCCCCCCGCTTTACCCATCCTCCCCATCATCTATGTGTCGGTTAAGAGGGGGGGAGTAAATCCAACGTAAACTAACATAATACAATGGGAGGGGGAACGATGATGTAACCCTTTTTTTTTTTTTTTTTT